TCCAAAGGTTTATGGACCCTTTCATATTTTGGAACGAATTGGCTCCATCACCTATCGCTTACCAATTCGTAAGATCTTTTCCTTCATCAAGTTTTCCATGTCTCTTGCATAAAAAAATTTCATGGAGATGAAGAGATGAAACCATCTATTTCACTCAAGGATAATTAACTCCACAGCCTAGGGATATTTTGAATTAGCAATTTCGTGAAGGACAGCGAGAACTACTTGTCCATTCCAAGGGCCAGAATAGTTGATGCTTCATGGGAGATCGCTGATGAAATCTTGGCCAAACTTCTCACAATGTTGCTTGCCGACAAGCTTCAATTCAACGAAAGAGAAATTTATATCGCATACATAGGAGGTCCTGCTACCCTTTTTACAATATGACTGGAAGAAGCAGCAAATGAAGGAGTCCGGCCAAAACGAGCCTATAGTTGGTAGGAAGCCGATTCCTTTAAGGAATCAGGAAGAGAGAAAATTTTTGAGGACTTTCCATTAAGTGCTTAGATATGGATTATGAAATTGGAATAAAACTGGGACTATAGTTCCTGGAGCTGACATAGGGATCTAAATCAAAGTTTCCTATAAATATCTATTATTACGAACAAGCTATCAAGCACTAATCCAAACTTTCTCTCTACAGGACAAACATCACCATAGGCTAGCAAGAACATAAACTGGGAAGCAAGCAGCCAGCTTGCTTCAGGAGCTCATGTTAGAAGGCCCTGTGACCAGATCCCAAGTCCAAGAACGCGATAGAGATCAACTTGGCTACTCCATTAAAGACCACCTTAAATCTAACATACCAATCAAAGCTAAACTGACCATGAACTAGTTATGGATTAATCTTTGGAACCATATAATTATCCTCCCTCAAGCATCATTTGTCAGCTTCATATAAAGATACTTTGATGCTCAAATAAAAGAGGGACGAACAACGACAAGGAAAACTCCAATACCAAATATATTATTCATTTCAAATATTAAAATGTTGAGGAAGTAACATGAGATATTGTTATATTACTTCCTGTACTATGTTGAGGAATTAAGCTGGAATTTATGCAGAAAAGGTTCCTTTTCTGTTTAGTCTCTGCACAGGTTTTTGGCGGACAGCAATGTTTCTACATCTGTCTTCCCCCATAAAATTATTTGGACCTCTCTTGCCCCACCCAGAATTTCTGTGTTTGCTTGGGAAGCAGCTATGGGTGCTATTCTTACTCTTGACAACCTCGTGAAAAGAGGTTTTGTTCTGGCTAACTGGTGCATTATGTGCAAACAGGATGCTGAATCATGTAACCATCTTCTCCTTTGGTGCCCTTTCACCTATGAGCTTGGGACTATGATTTACAAACTGTTTGGCATTTCCTGGGTTCTCTGGTTCTGTCAAAAGTGAGCTGCTCGCTTGGGAAGGCATCAAATTGAACAACAGATGGCTTAGAGTTATTCCCCTTACAATTCTCTGGATTATTTAGAAGGAAAGAAACTATGGGATTTTTGAAAGTAGATAAACTAATCTTACTTCTATCAAGGATAAGTGGCTGCATTTTTTTGGCTCCATTGTTCTTGGCCATAATTTTGTTTCTTTTGACGATCTTGATTCTATTGTAAATATTCTCACAGATCTGTAAATCTTTTTTTGTAAATGGATATGCCCCCTTGGCGTCTCTTTAATATTACTGCTTATTTTTATCTCAAAGAAAATTATTACTTCCTGTCCTCAACGAGAAAATGCTTGTCTTCATAAGGAATTACATGATTAAAGGAATAACAGTAACGCGAATCATAGTTTTTTAAAAAAATATTCTGGGCAGTGAAGCAATTTTGGATAGATGAGATGACATTTGGGAGCAATGACAATTAAACTGAAAATATTAAAAGAATCCCATCTCATCAGATACATCATCTTTCGAGGAACCATTAGACACATAAATGAGAACAACTTCTTATTATTTTCCCATAATTGCACTAAAAAATAGTAATGCACAAAACTGAATATAATAAACTGGGGAGAAGAGGATTATTCACATCAAAAGCACCCTGGACAACATACTGCCAAGAAAAATCAAGCACTTACTTCAGGAATAACCCAAAGCGAAAGTTTTGCATAAAGAAGATCAATAGAAACTCCATTCAATTTGAACTTCATCACTGGGACATGAGCATCGGGCACAGGATGCAATTCTGTAACTTCAGGCATCTCTGCTAGCATTTTATGTAGCTCGCCAAAGAAGTCCTCCTAGAGGTGGCAATATATTGAAGCATAATATGTTTATTGATCAACAACATTTAATTCAATAATAATAACACAATAATAGTAATAATAATGAGTAGGCAAGAGCTTATCGCACTTCTCTTGTTGCGTGCCTAGGTCCAACACAAAGCGTGTCTATATCCGCACCAGGGCCGTGGACCTGTTTTGCAAGCGAAAAAAAAAAAGAAAATTGAAACACGGAAGTCCGGCGCACATCATCTTATTTAACAGTGCAGTAAAAGAACTAAATCATGGGCATTGACAAGGCCAGTATTGCCAAATCAATTGTCTACCAAATGTAAAAGCACAATCCATAAAGAGGACATTATCTGCAGAGATTTGTCACAAGGTAAAATGATAAGGAGTCTTTCTAATAACAAGGTAAAATGACAAGCAAACATAAACTCCAGCTTTGTCAATCCATACTTCCTGAACAATGCATCTTCCACACGAAAGCAAACACCCATCACGAGATATCCTTGGAAGTTATGCATGATGGCCTATATGGCTTACCTCGCATAAATTTCACATCTATCACCAATGACTTCTACGAAGAGCAACTGATTTTTCTTCTATAATAATAATATGCAAGGGGTTGCAATATAGGGATGAGAGACTGAAAAGCTAGAAAGATAGTGTCACATCGTACCCCTAGACGATAAGAACCAAAAGTGAATATCTTAGCATTTGCTTCTTGCACCAGCTGCTCATTCAACCCTTTTGAACGGCTAATAGCTTTAACCCAAGTCTTCACCACCTGTATCAATCATGTAAAATAATATCTAATATTTCTGTTAGGAAACAAAGAATCATCATGTGATACAAATAACCCTAGAATCAACAATCTGGAACTTCATGTTCCTCTTACAAACTTGTTAAAAGTTAGAGCTGGGAAAGAAACTTCAACCTGGTCTAATCTCCCAAGCACTTCCTCCCTACTCACAGCCTCCTCCCTGCTCTCATACAGGCCCGCATTTTGCAAGAACTGAATACACCCACGTAGTCCGATTCAGTATAATTTCAGCTAAAACATTCAAAATTTAAACAATGTGAATAGTAACTAGTAACCTTCTCAAGCTCACGAGTCTTCGTCACATCAAACTCCGTTGGTCCACCCAACGAAATTGGTTCTGTAATGCCCAGTCGATGCCCATTATTTTGGCCACTAGCCATTGAGCTTATCGTTATAGTTTTTTTTTTTTTTTCTTTTCTTTTGTTTTCTTTTCTTTTTTCTTTTTTGGTTTGCTGTCAAACAAATAGATTAAGCATAAATTTTATCCATAATATTCTTGACATACTTCTCTCCTAATAAACATCAAATCATAAAAAAGTAAATAGAAGAGTAACGATGAAGCAATTGTTAATTGTACAGTAATGGGTGGATACAACCAATTGTGTTACCACCAAAGCTACGAAGATGATGAAACAAATTGGAAAAAAAAAAAGAGTAACCCTTGATCCAATTTCTCGATAACAAGACTACGGATAACAGAACAATTACAATACCAACAATTTGGACCTTTTCTGAAGAAAACCCTAACCCTAATCGAAGAACACAGATACAGAAATAGGGTAAAGCAACCAATCGATTAATTAATGAAAAACTTTATAAAAGCCTTCGCCTTTTAGCACAGCTGCTGCTGGTGATGCAGTTCGGATGGACGTTTCTCCTGCCATAGCGATCGAAAGAGACTCGACTCTCTGGGGAGAAGAGAAATGAAAATCCCTAGAAAAAAAAAATTAAAAGCGAGAAAATTTATCAGGATATAAAGTTAATACACCGAGTGAGAAACGAAAGGGGAGAAAAGAAAAACAAGAGATTACAAGAGATATGATGATTATTTAGCAAAACAGTGTTTCTCTGGATTTGTTGGTTTCGGTTTGTCTGGGCGTTTCTTTTGTTTTCTTTTTTGATTTTCTTTTCTTCCAAACAGGAGGTAATAGGCAAAAAGAGCGTTTGGCGGTGGTGGATATAAAGAAGACACGAAAAAAGGGGAAGAAGGAATTGGAGAATTTAAAAATAAAAAATAATAAAAATAAGCATGAAAAAAGGTAATTACTTATTTAGATTATGTGGGTAGTGGGTGTGGTTCATATTATACGTCTAATCCGTAATTTAATATAATAGTAAACATCCAGCACTTATGTGAATTTCTGTTTTGGGTAAATGCCAATCAATTCTTCCAACCTAACAATAAAATTATAAATTCAAATTGTATTAAAAATATAAACTTTATTATTATTTTAAAAATATATTATAAAATAATTAATTCATCAATTCTATAACTTAATCCATTAATGAGTTTATAAATTTATTATAAATAAATTGAATTTCATCTCGATAAACTATTATGATTTTAACAAAAAAAATATTTTGCCAAAGTTAAATTTCTTCAATTACATAATTGCAATAAATTAAAACTCAATCTAAGTTATAAAAAAAAAAATATGATAATTCAGTCTTTTATTATATTTAATCGATAATTTAATATATTTAATTTAGTTTAACCAACATTCTTAATTAATTAGACATTAAGCATCATTGACATTAAGTTTACGTAATATTCTGAATTATTAAAAAATTATCAAGTCAATGTGACACGTATATATCTCATTTTAATCTTACTTTAATTATCATGCAACACTAAAAGATAAAATTACATTTGCTTAGGGAAATGATAATGTGCATAACTTAGATATTTTATCAACATTTTTTTAGTAAGAGATTTTATAAATACATATTTTTTTGAAAATTTCATATGTGTTATCAAATTAGGAGAAGAAGTGAGCTTGACTCCAAGGTTGCTATTGAATCTTTGTCACTGAGCAATTGTACCATCATACATTTGTTTCTAATACATGTTTTCTCCTATATTTATAAAAGAACTAGTTGAAGCTCTTATTTATGAAAGAAAATTTTTTCTCTATAGTTTCAGGAATTTTCTTTGGCCATAGAGCTTATTCTCAAGTTGTTTATATACATTGTAAATATCTTTTGTCTCATATAAATTTTCATATCTTTCATCAAGTGTACCTTGGCTTATAGTTGAATGGAGCTTATTTAAAGTCTTCATTCCTAAAGTATCTTGCCTGCAACACATTATATAATAAAGAGAGGGGATTTGAAACTAACCTCCATGTAATGGTTCCGGAAATATTAAAATGAAATGAGTATTTAAATATATCGAATGCGGAAGCGAGATCAAAATTTCAGTTAACATCCCTTACACGAAAAACCAAACAAACGTACTTAAAATATAAAAGGTTAAACTAACTAAGAAAGAAAACTCGAAAATAAACTATGCGTATGACTACAGAGTCTCTAGGCATCCCCTTCGTCGTCCTCCTGCGGAACGGGCTCGGGAACCATGTCTTCCTGATCTGAAATGGTTAATTAAGGAGTGAGCTACACTAGCCCAGTAAGAACATCACGATATCTCACCGTCACGGAGATAAAGGTGGGTAGAAAACCACAAAAAGACCAATGGAGCATAATTTACAACAAAACCTTTTATCAATAATAAAACTTTTACCATCCACTTACCTTGGTGGAATTTATGAAAACAATATGAGAAAAACAATAACATTATCATAATCATTGAATAATCTAAGCTGTAAAACATAATACTTATCACGCCTCTTGTAATTCAATCATTGTACAACATATCTTTTTTTTTTCATTTACCAGCCTACTAGTATCCGTGGGGGTCCATAGGGGTTCCGCTACCCGTTAACCTTTAACATTCATAATCAGTTTCCAGGGCTGTCCCCATACCCCGTCCGGTATGGGCGCCAAAACCATGAACCTCAATACCCCGTCCGGTATGAGGGTGAAACGGGCCGTCCCCATACCCCGTCCGGTATGGGCGCCAAAACCATAAACCTCAATACCCCGTCCGGTATGAGGGTGAAACGGGCCGTCCCCATACCCCGTCCGGTATGGGCGCCAAAACCATAAGATCTCCATACCCCGTCCGGCATGTGAGACCACAATCCCGGTAGGGTTCCCTACGGACCCGGTCCGTCCACCATCTCCCAGGATATCTAGTCAGGCTGACCCCCATAATACAATTATCAGTCTACACAATCTTTCATTATCCTTTTCCTCAATCAGCATCATCAATTCACATTTAAACAAGCAAATCGTAATTCATACCAAACAGACAACATACAGTATCAGTTTTTCAGTCATTCAACCCATAATTAATAAAAACGTAGTACATGCACACAAATCTGTAAAATGAACACATCAAACCTCATTTTGCATTTAAAGCTGTAAACAGGCCAAATAACAGTAAATCATCAATCACACTAGACTCGGGCTCCATTAGCAACCTTAAGCAATTTCACACATGCGTTAATTCAAGAAATACCGTTATATCATTTTGAACTTTAATACCGTGATAGGAAATAGGGTGAGGGGTCCTTACTTGTTTTCGGGATCCGAATATGATTCACAGTGCGCCTGCAGGCTGTCCCTAATTTTCCCTGAATTTTTCCCGGGGAACTGAAACACACTAACAGTACCTGCACGTGTTCCAAAAAAATCCAAATTAGGCCCAGGGCCTCTTTCGGCCCAAATCGCAACTCCGGCACGGCGGCTCCGCCGTGCTCCGGCGACGGCGCCGCCGCTGGCGGCGGCGAGTCGCCTCGGGTTGACTGTTTTCGGCCGTTTTCGGCCGAATTCGGCCACTCTCGCATTGGTCCTTGTCAGAAAACAACCCTAGGGCCCTCGGGGGGCCAAAAAATCACGGAAAAACGGAGCTTACCGGCGGCGGCGCTCTCGGGTGCAGCGGCTCTCCGGCGAAGTTCGTGTTTTGATGATTCGGCTCCGGTCAACCTGTAGAGAAAAGAATGGTGATCACGGTGATATAAAAATTGCATCGAACGGAGGCCGGGAAGGGCCTCGTCGGAGGTAAAAACCGAGAGGGGGCGCGGCGGCGCCGCTGGGCTTCGGCCGCGTATTCCGGCCGTTTGGCCGGGATTTCGGCCTCGATTTGGCCATAGGAGGAATCAACGGAGAAAAACGAGTCGGGGGTATGAAATTTACCTCGATCGGCGGTCGGAAATTTCCCCGGTGCGGCGGCGAGTGGCGGCGGGTGGCGGCGGTCGACCTCTGGTTCGTCTTCTCCGGCGAGCGGCTGGCGGCTAGGGTTTTTGGTCTGGTGTGGAGGTTCTATTTATAACCCCTTGCCTTTTGATCACAGCCGTTCATTTCGTTTTAATCTGGGCCGTTCGTTTTTGATTGAATCTGGGCCGTCCGTGCGTTTGAATCTGGGCCGTCCGATCGCGTGATTGATCTGGGCCGTCGGATCGCACCCACGCGGATCGCCAACGTGGCTCCTTTCGGAGTGACGCGATCTTGCCACGTGGCAGGCCCTGGTTGGCCGGGACTGCTGACCGGGCCTGCTGACGTGGCACCCCTTTTTTTTTTTTTTTTTTCCTCCTCCTTTCCGGGTGCTACAACTCTCCCCCCCATAAAGAAATTTGGTCCCCAAATTTGCCTCATCACTCTTGATCAAACAGATGAGGATATTGGGCCCTAAATTCTGATTCCAGCTCCCAAGTCGCCTCCCTAGGCGTGTGGTTCTGCCACAAGACTTTTACAAATGATATTTTCCGGTTACGGAGTATTCTGCTTTCTCGGTCCGTGATACTGACCGGTACTTCTTCATAAGACAAGTCCTCTCGGAGTGAAAGCGGTTCATGAGCCACGACATGAGAAGGGTCCGGATTGTACTTGCGCAGCATAGATACATGAAACACATTGTGAACCCGGGAGAGCTCAGGGGGCAGTGCAAGTCTGTAGGCAGTGGTACCAATCTTGTTTAAGATTTCAAAGGGTCCAATGTATCTGGGGTTTAATTTTCCCCTTCTGCCGAACCTACTGATTCCCTTGAAAGGGGGTGACTTTAAGAAACACACGGTCACCTTTCTCAAAGGCCAGGTCTCTCCTCCGGGTATCAGCATAGCTCTTTTGCCTACTCTGAGCTGTCTGGATGTTCTTCTTGATCTTAACTATCTTGGACGTGGTTTCTTCCACCAAATCCGGGCCAAACAATCTTCTATCGCCCACTTCCTCCCAACAAATCGGTAACATGCACGGACGCCCGTATAGCGCCTCGTATGGGGCCATGCCGATGCTTGCTTGGTAACTGTTATTGTAGGCAAACTCTATCAGGGGTAGATGGTCGTCCCAATGGCCTCCGGAGTCAAGGACACAAGCTCGGAGCATATCCTCCAGCGTACGGATTGTCCTCTCTGATTGTCCATCGGTTTGGGGGTGGAAGGCAGTACTGAGGGACAGCTTTGTTCCCATAGCTTGCTGGAAACTATTCCAAAACCGAGAAGTGAATCTGGGATCCCTGTCGGATACCACTGTTACTGGGACCCCATGCAGTCTGACTATTTCCCGGACATACATTCTTGCCAACTTGTCCAACGAATCAGTCATTCTGATGGCCAGGAAGTGGGAAGACTTAGTGAGTCGGTCAACAATTACCCATATGGCATCGTGTCCCGATCGTGCCTTGGGTAGTCCCGATACGAAGTCCATGGTGATGTGTTCCCACTTCCATTCTGGAATCGGTAAGGGCTGAAGCAACCCCCCTGGGCGTTGATGTTCTGCTTTGACCTGCTGACATACCAAGCACTTAGATACGAAGTCGGCTATATCTCTCTTCATCCCATTCCACCAGAATCGGGGTCGCATAGTTTGGTACATTTTTGTACTTCCTGGATGCATGGCGAACCTTGAACTATGGGACTCTGTCATGATGTCTCTTTTTAATTCATTGTCGTCTGGGACACACATTCTGTCCTTGAAACGAATCAATCCGTCGGCAGAGATCTGAAATTCTGAGTTCACTCCCTGTTCTGCATCCTTCTTGCGGTTTACTAGGGCGGGGTCGATTGACTGGGCTTCCTTTATTCTTTGGATTAACTCGGGTTGGACTGCTAGGTGGCTCAAACATGTGGCCCTCTT